GCCCTATTCTGGGGTCCTTCGGGTTGCTTCGGTGGTTTGGTGGGGCAGGCCGCCCGCGGCGCCCATGCTGCTGCAGCCCGCGCCGTGCGCCCCGAGCGCGGGCTTCCCGCGGCCCCCGGCCGCCTCCGGCGCCATGCACGGCTCGCAGAAGGACACCACGTTCACCAAGATCTTCGTGGGCGGCCTGCCCTACCACACCACCGACGCCTCGCTCAGGAAGTATTTCGAGGGCTTCGGGGACATCGAGGAGGCCGTGGTCATCACCGACCGCCAGACGGGCAAGTCTCGCGGCTACGGCTTCGTAAGTGGCCCCGCGGCCGGGCGCGCACCCCGCCCCGCACTTACCGCGCCGGGGGCGCCGAGTCCACCGGCGGGCGCACGCCCAGCTGCCCCGGCACCTGCTGCCCCCTCCTGGGCTCGGGGGCGGAGGTTCACGCTCCAGCCCGTCCCGCCGCCGCTACTCGGCCGCGGCTCCCTGCCCCCACCCCACTCCTTGGGTTAAAAGGGAGAGCCGCTGTGTTCAATTAGCGCTTCGGAGTTTGTGGAGAGATTCTGGGGACAGTCGGCTTACTCCCAGGACTTCCTGGAGCAACAAACAAGCAGAAGAGGCTTCACCTCAGGGCGCTTTGGAGGCCTTTAGCACCCCCTCCCCTCCAGTATTTTATAAGAGTTCCTTTAAACGCCCAGAACAAACGGCTTAAGTAAAAAAAGAAAAAAAAAAAACAAACGGTTTGAAGGCACGTCTCCTACTTTCCTTCTAACCGGTGTCCCCCAACCCCTCCCACGAGGAAATTCGCACCCCCACAGGCAGGCAGGACAAGCTCGGGGCCCCTGCCCTCCTTGGGGAGGAAAGGGGGAAGTTCCTTGTCTCCCCTGGGGATCATTTCTGTCGGTAAAGCTAGGTTTCCCAGCACATGAACTTGGATGGAGGAACTGGAATCCAGGGGCACCTTTGCAGGAGGGCCCCATGGTGGGGGGGTGGGGACTGGGTCAGAGGGTCTGAATAACTGGCCCCCCAGGGAGGGGGAAGTGAGTGCCTCTTGCCGGAGCAGAGGGCTCTGCTCCTCCCACCGGTAAGGGAAACCCCTGATGCATCTGTGTTCCTCTAGGTGACCATGGCCGACCGGGCGGCGGCGGAGAGGGCTTGCAAAGACCCGAACCCCAACATCGATGGCCGCAAGGCCAACGTGAACCTGGCGTATCTGGGTGCCAAGCCGAGGAGCCTCCAGACGGGTGAGAGCCTGTGTTTTCCTTTCCTGGCTCGTCTTGATTGCTATATTCAGTGTTGGTATCTGTGGGGTGGAAAGGGCCCCCCCCTTCCCCAGCCCTGCCCCAGGAGTGGCCGTCAGCTATCATGTGCTTGCAGAGCTGTCCCTGGGCAGTCATCCCCTAGCCTGGGAGCTGGACCCCGTCGTCCAGGTGCATGTGCCAGCGGGACAGGGCGAGGAGGGCGCATCAGCCAGTTGTCAGCCGTCCGCCAGGGAAGGAGGAAGTGGTTCCCCGGGGCTGGCGGTCAGGGGGACAGACACCCAGAGGCCGCTGTTACCCCTCTCCGTCGGCTTTCTTAGGCAGGGAGCTTCGGGATTTGAGGGAAGGTGGCCTGGGAGTGTAGAGGAAGCCAGTTATCTGTCCCTTCCGATGGGGGAGGGCACGGCTGTGTGCTTCTGCTCCCTTGGGTGAGGCTGAGCCCCTGCGTGGCCTCTCGTTTCAGGCTTTGCCATTGGAGTACAGCAGCTGCACCCCACTTTGATCCAGCGGACTTACGGGTGAGTGGACACTGTTGGCTGGGGGGGGGGGGTGGCGGGGGGGTGAGCAGACCTGGCCAAGCAGGCCCCGGGCGCCCCTTGGCCTGAGGGAGTCTTTCATCCGAGGACCGCCAGCCCCACGGGATGCCCTTTGCATCTACCTTTCCGTGTCTGCGAACCGTCGCCTTCTCCGATCTTCCATAAACCTGATTGCCTTCGGAGGGCGGGGAGGCAGGGCCAGCCGGGAGGACGGAGAGAAGGCTGAGAGCGTTCCTCCAGTCCTGCCAGAGACCCCGGAGGCTGCCGGAGCCTGGTTTCAAGCCTTGGCTTCCCCGTGACCAGTTGCGTGACCTCTGGCAACCTACACAGCCGTCTGTCCCTCAGTTTCCCCCAGCTCCCTCTGTGGAATGGGGATGGTAGCGGCCTCTCTGAGTTCTGTGAGCCGAGACCTCGGGAGAGGCCTGTGGTGAGGGAGGGCAGTGAAGGCTCCGGAAGTGCTGCCCGTGCTCTGTGGGCCCGGCGGCTGCGTTCTTCTCAGGGTGCCGGGTGACCCGCTCTGGTGCCTGACAGATGGTGCCAGCAGGCCACTGCCATCCGGGGTCTGGTATTTATGAAAGCTGCAGCAGGTGAGACGGGACCGGGGCCAGCTGTCCAGCCCCAGTGGACCCGGCCTGTGGGCCTTTTGTCCGACGTGCTGTGGTTCAGCGCATCCCACCCTTGCCTGGCTTTTTTTTTTTTTTTAAGTTCTAATAAGTCCCGGCAGCTGCTTGTGGAAGGACACACACACTTCAGGGGCACAAAGGGGCCTGCCATGCAGTGTGACTTCCCAGCCCCGTGATCGATGTTGGCTGTGTGTCCCAGTGCCGGCAGCGTGTCGACGGGGGTGGGGTGTGCTCCTGGGGGTGGCAAGGGCGGTGAGAACACAGACAGCCCCTTTTAGAACGTTGGTGCTTCTCAAGCTGTCAGAACCAAATCCCAGGCTCTGGATTTTGTGCTTCAAGCTGCGCGTGTGCGTGTGTGTGTGTGTCTCACGTGCATGTGTCTGCCCTAGAAAGAGGCACAGTTCGAGGAACCACCTGGCTTCCCTGGCAGGGCTGGGAGCTGGGCTCGGGTGGACCGGGCAGGTCACACAGATGGCTGAGGAGTTGTTGCGTGCCCACGATCTGGGGGTGCTCGCCCGGACACGCGGCGTCTGTGTCTGCTTGGTGGCCTTGGCGTGGATTGGCATGCGTGGGAGCCCAGCTCTCAGTCTGTTCTCCTGGGAGGGAGCCCGGGGGCGGCCGGGAGCTGGTGCTTCTGGGTTTCCTTCTCACCCTGGCATCTGCTTCATAAATGTCTGGAGCCGTCTTGGGAGGTATTTGGGGACATCTGCCGTCATCCGAAGTTCTTCCTGCTTGGGGTCCAGGTCACATGAGGAGGGCATTCCTCATTTTCCATAGCCTTGGTGCTGTTCCCCAGGTGTGTCCCAGGTGGCCAGGGGCAGGGCCTGGAGCAGGGGCCAGCTGCACAGAACCGGGGGTGGAGGGGGGCGGGCATCAGCGGCTCTGTCCTGCTTACCATGTAGCAGCTCCTTCCCCGAGCACGTTTGAGCTCTTTTCGGATCCGCTGCGGCTGCCTCTAGGACTCCAGTCACTGTCAGGACTTGGCCCCTGGAGCCTGCAGACCTGGGTTCAAATCCTGGTTCTGCCACATTCCAGCCGGGTCCGCTTGGCAGATGGCAGGTGGCGTCTTCTTCCTGAGCGTTCGGTTTCCTCGTCTGTGACTTCCTTGACGGAAATAATGACCTCTTCACATACGGTGCCAGCACGCGGGACCGGGTGCTCTGTGCCCCTGCCCCCCATCCTCTCCTGTCCTCGCAGCAGCCTTCTGAGGTTGGGGCTGATGTTACCTTCGCTTCCTAGATGAAGAAACTGAGGCGAAGAGCGCTTAACAGTCTGTCGGGGTGACCTAAGTGACGTGACTTAAACCGGGCCACTGGCTCCGAGCCCACACTCAGCCGCCGCTCTCTGGGGTGGGCGGGTAGGAAGGGTGCCCCAGCCTTTCCTCTCACGGTCCCTTGAGTGCCACCCACGTGAGGGTGCTTGGGGGTCGGTGCAGATCTTACCGCCGTGCGTTCCCGACTTCACGTGACCGTGTCTTGTAACTAAATCTCTGGCTGGCATCTAATACCTGTGACGACGAAGAGGCCTCGGGCTTTTCTTGTTGGTTGCCAGGGGGCGGAGACCCAGGCGGGGACAAGGGGTCAGAGGGAGCGTCCAGGTCTTCGTTGCCAGCGGCCAGTGGCCCAAAGCTTCTCAGGGTCCCGCCGCCTCCCACCAGGCCTCGCTGAGAGGTCCAGGGTGGCGGGAGGGGCCCCTGGGGGTGCTCTCCCAGCGAGGCAGGGCCGGGCTGGCCCGGGGTCAGCTGCCTTCCCCCAGTGCCCCTCGGTTGGGAGAGTTGGGCCGTCAGCGTCCCTTTTGTCTTTTGTCTTTGCAAACGAGAACAATCGGGCTGGAGCGAGGCTGGCCTGACTCAGCAGTCAGTGTTGTGTGCTGCGGGCTGGCAGTGAGGCTGGGCCTGCGCCGGCCGAGGGCACGGTGGGAGCCAGGGCTGGGCAGCTCGGCCTTTTCAACCAGTTAACCCCTCTCCTGCCTGGCCGAACTTCCCCCGGACTTCCTGCCTCCGATCCTATGCCTTGCACAGGTCTAAAGGTTGCACGGCCCCACCTTTGGGCAAGGCCACTGCGGAATCCTCGCCTGTGGGGCCGTAAGCATCAGCGTGGGAGATTCGCCAAAGAATCTCTTAACAAGTTACCCTTTTTGCTTGGATTCCCTGGCTCTCGGGTTTTTTTTTGTTTTTTGTTTTTTTTTTTTTTAAGGGGGATGGGGTCTTTCAGGACCTAACTTGGGCTGTGCATTCCTGTCCTGTAACTGTGTGTGGGGCCAAGGCCTGAGGTTTGGAGAATCCTTCCTTGGCAGGTGACCAGTGACTTAACCATGAGAGGGACGACATGACCAAGGCCATAGACCATCCAGCTGAGCATCTCTTGGCCGACCCCCCCGGGTGGGACAGTCAGCAGCCTGCAGGCAGGAAAGTTCCAAGTGGTCTGGAGAGGGCACATGTCCGGGCAGAGCTTTGAGCCTTGTCTGGAAGGGACCTCCTGGTGTCAGAGGGTGTATGTCCAGGGCTAGACCTAAGACCTGCCAGGGTCTGAGGTTTGTCCTGGGCCTGGCTGTACTTGGAACCTCTCCTTGGGTTATTTTTGAAGGGCCAGCTGCTTCTCTGGGCACAGCCCCCGTCCCTTTTCTTAAGGGGGCCTTGCTGGGGCCTTCACATCCATTCACCGCCAAGTCCTGTTTTGTGGCCAGGGTGAGACCAGGCCCCAGGTCCCAGACAGCAGGGTCATCCTGTGTTGGAGCCAGGATCCCAGGGTCTGCCTGGGCTCATCTCCCCGGAGATGACCAGGATGGAGACCAGGATGCAGGGCTGACTTGAGCACTGAGTGGGTGCCTTTGTGCAGAGCCGGTGGGTCGGGGGCCTGGCCCACAGAGAGACTTGTATTTGTCAGGGACCCAGCTCCTAGCAGCCCTCCGACAAGGCCTGTTGCCCGAGCTGCCCCGTGCAGGCACCGGGTGAGGAGAAACTTGTCTGAGCTCA